CAATGAGCGCTCGACCCGCCTTTGTATCCACAAAACGTTCAATCCACCAGCAGACCGATAACATGAATAGCCTCGTAGACTTTGATGGTCTTCTGTTTTTCAAGCTTCCAAATCATGTCAGCAAGATCGGCGACAGCTTTCTGGGGGTCCTTCTCATGCGCTTCTAACTCTCTTTCCCGTTGTTTCTGCCCAATCCCAGGGATGCCCTCAATAGGGTGCGCCATGCGATTGTAGTAGCAAACTTCGCCCGAGCCTGCGTCGTAGACCTCACTCCAGCATGAAGACGCCACTGTCCATTTCCGCGGCTTTCGACCTTGACGTTTGGCATTCGCATTCCAGTTGTGCCATTTGGTGGTCTCGTGGGTGCGCAGTTCGCCCTCTTTTGCAAAACTCAAGCCTGGGCAAGAGCGACAGAAGAAAGAGAGTCGAGGTGGCGCTGGGTAGTGAACGCGCTTGACTTTCGGATGGTCTTCGCTTGTGTCCGCTTCGTCCTCACTGCTCGACGCCTCGGGAACGAGCTGCACAGTCTCCACTTCACCTTCTCGCTCAGGCGGAACGATCACGATCACGTCTTCCAATAGACCAAGCAGAGTACGAAGCTTTTTGACTCCATACGTCCCTGGCACAATGGACTTGTGCATCGACTTCTCAAAAGCAGCAGGGAACTCACTCAATGGCACTTTACCGGACTTGATGCCGTCATAACGACTCACAACCTTGTGAACTTCGAGCTTGAGGATGGTGAACTCTTGAGCTAGCGCTGCGTGCGACAGGATCCGCTCCAGCACCGCCTCTTTCGATTCATGACTAGACTCCACAGTATCCCGCTCTACGTCACTTGAATTATCCTCGCGTCTGTTAAGATCTTCATCGATTTCGACAGATTTGATCCCTGTTCGCGGGCGTGTAATGTTCTGCTTGGTCATGGGTTCACTCTCGGCACGATCGAGTGCGTCGAGGTCATCCAGTACCTTGCGTAGTCTCGCTCGAGTCTCTTGCATCATCCTCACGGCATTCTCTGCGCTGCCAAACTTGATACGAGCCTCTTCAGCAGCCTCAATAGCCTGTCGCTCAGTAGCTCGTTCAGCGGCCAGTTCTTGACGCATACGGAGCAAGATCAGACGTTGAGCGTTAACTCTCTGTACGGTTGGAGCGATCTCAGCAGCCTTGGAGGCATATTGACAGGCGGCACGGACCCAGACGCACGTGGCTGCAAGCGCTGGTGATGCAGTGTGCAGTTGGAAGTTACTAGGACGAAGACGTGGATGGTGGATAACGCTGGTAAGTGAGAGCAGTCGAGCTCTCCGAATCCCCTCAGCGAACGAGTACGCATCGAAGAGTGGCAAAACGTACAGCGCCTTGACCGCGTATCTGTGAATCAAACCTTCGCGATCACCCAAAATGACGTTTTCGTCGCTGTTCGACAACAGACGCAAGACATCTCGACGTGACGGGAACTCTATCAGCTCAGGAGGAGGCTTCAAGGCAGCTTTATCACCCAACTGAAGCTTCTCCATCTCGAACTTTGCCAGCTTCTCACACCTCTGCTTCTCCTCCAGTTCCAGTTGGAAGTTGGACGTGAAGTTGAGGAGCACGCAGAAAGCTTTCAAGATCGACATGAACGTATCGTCCAGCTTTGCCGACCGGAGTCTGTACCAGTCCATTGGTTCCAGCTCATGCAGACCATCGACAGCTTCTCGGTACTTACGCTCGAGTTGCTGTCGATCTTGTTTCCAGAACTGCTCCACTTTGACCTGCATGGATTCTTCCTGAGCTTCAGCTTCGTTCAATTCGGTTGTTAACGTGGTGACACGCGCTTTGGCTTCTCTCATGGTACGAGCACTTAGCTCCTGCTCGTTCCGCAGCTTTTCCAGATCTGGTTCGTGCTCTTCGATCGCCTTCACGACGGCTGCATGATCCATTGAAGTTTTCTCGAGCATATCAGCGCCGACCATGACGTTTTGTGTCTTTGCAAGCAGATGGACCACAGCCTTGACGAAAGCATCATCGGGATCCACACCTTCGGGTAAAGTAGGCAACTGCCTCGCTATCATCACAGCGTATGGACTTCGGAACTTGTTGGGCAGCAGATCAAGTTCTAGTTCCCCCGAGCCATTCTCGCGATGCATAACGCCAAAGTATTGCACAAATGTAGCGGTTGCTACCTGCGAGCTGGGTTTACTTAGCCACGCCTTGTGTTCACCATGTTCCCAGCGCCCAAGACGTCCCAAAGGCTCACTCTTCCCACCCAAAGTGCCTTCACTTCCCGCTCCCCGAGAGATAAACATCCCTTCGCCATGCATCTCGTCATCTTCGAATGAACCTTCGTATCTGTCACCATTTAGGAATACGAGAATGCCATGACCCTGTCGTCGTGTACGTCGCATTGCCCCTGCATAATGGCGTCCGTCAGCAAACTCCACAGCACCGGAACCATCCAAAAAGCCGTCACAGAATTCCCCCGAGATGCGGTCACCATTAGTCAGAGTGCGAGCACCATGCCCATGCCAGAGACCACGACGGAAGGAGCCATCGTAGCGAGATCCATCGGATAGTACCAGTTCACCAGGTCCATTGTGATGGTCATATGCCCAGTAGCCTTCGTACAGCTCGCCGTTCTCCATCCGCTCGATGCCGTAGCCGTGACGTTGTCCATCTTTCCACTCGCCGACGTACTCGCCTCGAGCGAAGACCAATCGGATGTGTAGGATGCCCAGCCCATGGAATTTACCGCGACTGACGGCTCCTTCGTAGATGTGAGTGGCAGGACACGACGTCACGCGAAAATTTGCGCCACTAGCTCTGAAAGGCGAGAAGAAGTTGTCGACACCTTCACCTTCCCATATTGTACCGTCTCGACATGTGAATTTCCCCCAGTGTTTGTGCGCTGGCTTGCGAGTTTTACGTGGTGGGTCAGGATGAGCTCCAGCACTGGAGAGGAAAGGCTTTACGCCACTAGCGCTGGCATCTTCGACCCACGGACCTTCGTAGATGGAGCCGTCGTTGTACTCGATTATCACGTGGCCTTGAATTTGCCCGTCTTGGAACGAGCACTCCAAACGCACGTACGTATGTGCCAGCTCCCGAAGCTTCGGTTTATTCTCCTGCCGTGTTCGTCGTCGAGGCTTTGACTTTGCAATTGGTTCACCGACAGCTACGTTATTCACAACGCTCTCGACCACTGCTGTTGCTGCAGGGTTAGACTCAGAAGTAGCTTGACCCGAAGGTGTCATGTTGCCATCACCCGTAACATGAGCAGCATCTATTACAGGAGCACCATCTGCCTGTTTTCCAACGTCGTCACGAAGATACTCCGCATCAGAAGCTTTGCCGTTTAAAAAGCGTCCGTGCAGAGTGAGATCGTGATTGGAAATATGAAGCGAACGTAGCGACATTTTCAGTTCGTCGCCAATTGCAGCGGGCTCGGCGGCCTCGCGTTTGGCCTTCGCATTCTCCAACGCCAGCTCCATTCGCGTCATTGCACTTCTAGCCATCGCCTCTTTCTCAGCGCGCTCCCGACGATACACAATACGTACCTGTTGCTGCCGTAGTTTCCCCAGTAAATAGGCCTCGTCCCTTTCATCGCGTTGCTGTCTCAGCTTCTGTCGCTCGGCCACATGCAGCAGCTGCAGACGTCGCAATTCCTCTTCAAGCGCTTCCAGTTGTTTCTTCCGCGCTGCTATCATGGCATTCCAGGCATTCAACATGTCCACTTGGTTGTCCATACGTTCCAACAGGTTGCGTAGATCCTCCTGATACTGATTGAAGAGAGTGCGGTGCCTCTCAAGAATATCAGACCCCAGTTTGTGCGTCTCCTGAACTAGAGCACGCATGCGCAGCGTCCGAATGAGTTGATGTATGTACGGTACGAAAGCTTTCTCGATCGCTCCCAAGCGCTCCAATTCTTTCTCCATCATGGCGATTCTTTCCTCGGATGAGGCGATCAGCGCCGCTAGTTTCTCCCGAACCTGAGCCAGTGACGCCTCCGCCTTCTTCCGCTCGCGTTTAAGCGATTGCTTTTGCCATTCTTCACCTCCGCTGGCTTTGATACGCTTGGCTTTAAGAGCGATGTAGTCCTGTAACTCGCCTTCCTCATGGCGCAGAACGTCAAGTTGCGTGTTCATCTCAGCTCTGAAAGCTTCCAGATCCTCTTCCAACACCCGAATGGCTTCCAACACGGCATTGCGTCGACCGACATTCATCTCTGGAGACTCAAAGTCGACACCGTAAAGCGGTGACGGCGTCTCCAGGCGATTCTCGCGCTCACGTCGCTCCTGCATTTCATGCTTAGACAAGTTCTTCTCCTGGAGATTTCGACCACGAGCCAGCCAGACTTTGACTGCGTCCTGGAACTTTCCTTCTAGATATACTTCCTCCTCGATCTGGGCTTGCTCTCTATCGGCGCGTTCGTATTCATCTCGTGGTGGTGTTATTGCTAGAGTCGATTGATGAGTCAGTGGGGATCGTCCAGGCGCCAAGTGTCGTCGCGGTTTGCGGAAGCAGTACTGTCGGGAGAGCTGGAAAATTTCAACGAAGAAGGCGCTTGCTTTCTCTTCTAGGGAAAGATGGTTCACTGTGGAATTCCAGAGATGATAGCGAAGTGCTCGCTCCGAAGCGCAAACGTGGGCACAAGACCGGAAGGGACAAATGAGTGGAACTGCATGATTCCGACAAATGTGCTCGCTCACTTCTTCCATTGAGCGGAATCCCGGCATACGACACACAGTACATGTCATTTCCACTCGAAGTTGCTGAGCTGCAGTGTCCTCCAGACTCATGGCAGTGGTTTCTCGCGCTTCGAGTGGTGTCGTGTCAATAGGTGGTCGTTTGAGTCGAACTGCAGTCACGTAGCTCACTTCCGTCAGGTCTTCAGGCAACTCCATGTACATACTGGCAAGACCGACACCCTGGACGTTCTGGGCTGCGATACGGACACGCATCGATTGTTCACACTCGGGAAGAATCGGCCATAAAGTGGTTTTTGTCGGTACTGAAGGTGTGGATTTGAGAGCTTTGGTTTCTTGGATTTCAGTATCAACTTGTGAGGCCCCCGAGATATGCCAACAATCTAAAGAACTGCTGTTACTCGACACAATGGCCTTGCCAGCGAGACCTCCATTGCCACTCTCGTCTTTCCACTCCACGACGTACTGTGTTATTGGAGCACCGTTTTCCAGTGGAGCCTCCCAAAGCACATCCACAGCTTTCCCTGCTCGCCATTTGCGGAACGGAATGGCGTCTGAAGCTGCTTTCTGCTGGGCAGCGAGGGCGATCTGAGCAACTGTAAGCATGCCACGATCCTGTGGGGATTCTTCCGTCTTGATCGTTTCTATGAGTTTGATTGTCTCGCGTTTGTCGTCCTCCGTGTACAACATCTGCGCTGTGCAAGTAGCAAACGGGTCCAAGGCCTCCACTCGGGCTTCGTACCAGTTCTCGTCATCTAGTTCCACCTCGATAAAGCAACCAACGCACAAAAATTCCAGCGCAGACTTCCGAGTAGCCACGATCTGGACGTCCACTACTGCTTCTGGCTTCTGCTGCTGGAGTATATGAAGTGCTTGACCTTGCGCTATGAGCTCCGTGCGCTCTCTCTTGGCCTGTGCGTTCCCTCGAGCTTCTTCTTGCAATAGGCGCGTTTCTTCACGATCTCTCCATGCAATTTCACGGTTGAATTGAGCCAGGAAAGCGATGGTATTCTCCTCGAGAACACTGAGCTCTGCATGACGCTTGGCGTACCCTCGAGGGCCTTCACGTGAGCGCTTTGCGTTCCAGATACCCTGACGTTCGAGTACCTGAGCCTCCAGTCGCTCTTCGCGTTCTTGAGCTTTGACTGCCTTGACGATCCGTAGCTTCTTATAGCGAGCTTCGATCGAGTTGCGCTCCAGCCAATTCCATTTGGTGGCCACTGCAGCGATTGTCGCCACTGCGGTGTCCCCTGGTGCTTTTGCAGAATGAACTTGCCCCGTCAAGAAATGGGCTACACCCCAGCCATGCGGTACCATTGCAGTACGGAACTTTTGAGGCGAATCATTCTGTTCTTCGGCACCCCACACAGCTACCAGTCGCTCTTGGAAGACGCCGTGGACTAGAGCCCAACCCTCAGAAGCACAGAACGAGCAGTTGGCGAGTTGGGGGAAGAAATGTTTCTTAGCTTTGGCGTGTTCCTCCTCGAAAGTCTTTGCAAACGCAGCGCCGCCGATAAAAGCAGCGAGTTCAGCTTGTCCACGCTTCGCTAGTCGCTTGGCTATTGCTACAGTTGTTGCTTGTTGTACCAAGCGTAAGGGGTACAGCAGCAGTCGATCGATGAAGCGAGTATACGGCGCTGGTAGGACCACAGGTCCCCGTTGATCATTGACCAATGCGCCTTTATATTCCAGAGGCGTGAGTCTCATCAGCACTTGCTCCAGCTCACGACGTCGAGCGATAGAGCGCTGGACACGATTGATGATCTTCTGGATGCCTAGAGGTTTGTCTGGAAGACCAGGGGGGATGTCCATGGGTCGTACCAGTTGCAACATCACAAGCATCCGCGCCACTCTTGTGTTCGCACATCGTAGTGTCTTCAGCATACGAAGCAGAGCTTGTTGGCGTCTGGCAGCGCTCACGCCTTGAAGCTCCAGCTCCCGTTGATATTGCATGCGAGCGAAGTAAACTCGAGCCATACACTGAATCACTCGAGCTGCACAATAACGTTTGGACTCCTCAGCGATGGATGCGGCGTACGCTTCGAGTTCTTGTCTCCATTTAGCGCTGATCTCTCCGTCAGACCCAGCGACGCTAATGGCGTAAGCAGCAGAGAACGCCAACTCCGGGACACGGTGAAGAACGCGCTTGGCAGGTTCAAGTTTTGTCGACGGGATGATCAAGGGGAAGAATTCAAGCTCTCCATCCAAATCCATTTTCACCTGAGCTACACCATCAGCCACACTCAGCACAAATGCCGTCTCGCCACAACGTGGATGACCAGGTAACACGACGCGAACGGCACCACCACGGTCCACGCGCTCTTCTTCGCGTCGCTTTTCGTCTGCAGTACTAGTCACCAGCTGCTCAAAGTGACTGAGATATCGCTGACCCGCCTGCGACTTGCTCTGTAAGCGCATCAAGTTGAACGTTCGTTGTCGAGGCTTCTCTAGAATCGCAGCTTGCGCTTGGATTTGTTTGACTGCGTTGGCGTTCACTTTCTTCTTGATGAATTGGAAAAAGGCTCGCAGCTCGTCAAAATCCTCCCGAACTTCACGAAACACCGAGCGAATGTCAGTGAGAAATGTGGCAGGATCAAGGCCAAAAAACGCCAAGAAACTACGCAGTCCTCGCTGCGTCGGGCGCGTTGGAGCGCCGAGAGTACGCAGCATTTTTCCTTCCACTGCTCGACGTGTCAGTACCTCCATCCGGGTGATATAACTTCGCCTGAGAGCAGATGTACGTCTACGTGCAATGCGACCACGGTGCACCGCTTGTAAGCGTGAGGCAGAGCGAATGTGGACCAATAATTCCTTCTGCGAGGCGAACCATTGACGTGCCAAATACCCGCGGATATGACGCTGAATTGTGACAGCGGCCAGGTTCCTTACGCGCTCCAGACGCTCTTGTTCCAGTTGTCTTCGTCGTGCTTGGACTCGCACAAGTTCCTGCGTTTCCGCCTCTTGCTGCTTGCGAAGTATAAACCTTGCACGCTTAACTTCCTCAAGTAAATGCCGAGCTGCTACACCACGCCATCGACGCTGCAGTATAACAACCATACGGAGTTCACGCTCCACTTGGCGCGTATGGGTCTCTTCAACAGCCATGGCTTCTCTTTCACGTTCTGCACGCAGATATTCTCGCAGTCGCGCCTTTCGAGTGGCTGCAAGTAGCAGAGCCTTATCTAAGCGACCACGCCAGGCGTTCTGGATCATAACAGTGGCCCAAACCATGTACATGAAGTGGTTTTCCACTTGTCTTCTAGCTAGCACGCCCCGCCAATAGCCCTGCAGTCGTGTAGCCATTCGCCGTGCATGCTGGAGCTCTCGAATCTGAGTAAGCCAGACTGTGAATGTGAAGGTTAACTGCACGTTGGCCATCATGGCTCGCACTCGCTTTCGACAGTATTTAGCGTACTCTGTATGCGCTGCCCAAGCCGCGAAGACGCGTACTTGTGTGCCGTTCATGAAGAACGCCATTGCTCGGCGCTGTCGATTGCGCATCTCAATCTGCTCTTGTGTGAACTCGTACCAGGTACTCACAGCTCTGGCGGCGTTCATCATCTTTAGTCGAGCTACTACACGGCCAGAAGCAGCTCGAACATCCTCGTGGTATTTACGCCAACGCAGCCAACATTTCGTCACGGTATTGCTCGAAAATTTCGCGAATGCTCGTCGTTTCGCTCGCTGTTGACGCACGAATTCTATCCAAGCATTCCAGACCAGCAGCTTGTCTCGGTGGAAGATCTTGCCTGCTAAACGGCGATATTTGTCTCGTAGTTGGCGCTCACGCTGTGCGTTTTGGTGCCATTGACGGAATGCCCAGTGACTTAGGCTCTGTGACACGCACATATCACGCAAGCGTAAGCGATGGAAAAATGCACGAATAACACGGTGGAAGAGTCCCTACCCCACTGACAATGGACATAGTGGCCTTTAGCAGGAAAAGCTTCTGATCCCGCACAAACTTGAGCCACAGACGCCAGACCAATCGCTTCGCAGCTACGTTCGCCCGAGTCTGTGCAGCGTTCAGGAAGAAGCGATTAGAAAGGAATGTGTGTCCAAGTCTAAGAGGCTACTAAAACTTACTCTGCCTTCCAGCTGCGATGTCGAGTTGTGAGTCTCAAGTGGGACTGCGTTCAGGAACACTTTGGTGACCAGTTGGCGGCGCAATTTTCCCTTCGCTGTCAGTGCACGCCAGGTCCCAATCACGCGGGGCAACGACTGGCATTTCCAGAACACTAGCGCTTTCCTAGCATGGCTTCGTTTATGATGCACGAACTGCTTCCAAGCACTGAAAAATACTGGCACTCTGTGTTGCCCCCAGAAATTGAGAGCCTTTGCCGCTTTTAGCGCAGCTTGAGCACGCTTCTGCTCTCGTTTCGTCTCGAAAAGCAGCGATTTCCACGCTCTAAACACCTTGAGCTCGGAGCGACTGGTCCAGTAACTCTGTGCCCGTCGTACGCGTCGATCATGTCGCCTCTTGCGCCAACGATACTGGGTCAATATCACTGCTTTAACTACTTTGCGTCGCGTGATACTGTACTTCATTCGACACCGATAACCGCGGAACACGCGCTGGATGTCCAAAGCAGCGCAGAATTGTTCCCATTCACGATCATCTTGTTCGCTCGTTTCCTCACGAGCGCGTTGTCTAACTCGAAAACGAGCTTGAAGTGTGGCCGCTAACTTGACACTTTTGACAGAATCTCCAAGCAGTTTCTCTCGCCTTCGAGCTTTCGTCGCTGCATCTGGATCAGAAGCTGCTAGTCCTTTGAATGTCTCCTCATTATCGACGATTACTTCAAGCCCGTATGGGTTATCAGAGCGGCTGCGAAGTAGCTTGTTTAGGTCGGAAATCTGGATCAATGGGCACTGAAACACGTTGAGATGGCGTAAGAAGCGGCACTTGTTCCAGATTACTGCCAGTCCAGCAGGATCGATGTCTTCACAGTGAGATATATCAAGTACTTCGAGGTTGTGGAGACGATCACTGAGAACGCGGTAGCACGCGCCGTCTAGACTATGATGGTGCAGCTCGAGGTGGGTGATATTTTCTGGTAGACTCTGCAACCCACGACTGGAAAGCCTGCTACAACCTGAAAGGTAGAGCTTTTCCAGGGACTGCATGACGATCACTGGGTAAATGGCGAGGTCATCGACTTGTACACAATCTCGGAGGTCAAGAACTCGTAAGACCTTGTTGCAGCTGGCCAAATGGGTCAGCACGGCTCGGCATACTTCATGTTGACCTTGAAGTCGTAGCTCAGAGAGTGACTGAGCAGCTTTCACAAGTCTGACGAGCACGGAGGCGGGAATTGTCCCAGCTCGGGAGATGTCGAGTGATGTCAGGAGCTTTGAAGACGTGCCGATCACTGCGAGTAGCGCCTTTTCACCCACGTTCGGATTGTTCGATAGGATCAGTTGCTTGAGTGGCTTGAAGCTGTTTGAGACCGCGACTTCTGCTGGTCTTTGAGTCTGTGCGTTGATGCCGTCAGTTCGGAAAAACCTGTCAAATCCTGCATCAGTGAAGCCCACACAGCCAGAAAGGTCAACTTCTTCCAGCTTCAATAGTCCGGCTAGACCGATCAATCCCTTGTCAGTGAGCCTGATACAGCCAGACGCTTTAAAGCTTTCAAGCAGTGGACACGCAGCAGCGATCCAAGAGCAACTCAAACTGGTCAGCGATGTACACCCAGAGACATCGAGCTTAACCAGTTTGGGGTAAGTGCTGACTGCACGATTCTCGAAGAAGCGGGGAACGGAGTAAAGACACTCGAAGGATTCGTCTGTGACGTCTACACAGTAGCTCACGCTCAGCTCCTCCAGTAGCCGAGGCTGGCTCGAGAACAATTCCTTGATACTAACGTCCGTGACTTTAGCACAATGACGAACTGAGATTGTTTTCAGATGTGCTCCCCGCGTTTTCATCCATGGGACTATTGCTGCATCCGAGATGAAAAAACAGTGGTCGAGATGGATTCTTTCCAAACGCGACGCCTTTTTCAGTAGCTTCAACACTCCAGAGTCGGTCACATGTTCACACCCGTTGAGGTTTAAACTCGACAATCTCGTAAAAGCCTCAGCAATTGTTCCAACTAAGTCATCGGTGACAGAATCACTTTCAACTAACGACAAATTATGAATCGATGCGCATCTGTGTGCAATGGCGTGAAATACTTGTTTCTACGAGGAAAAAAAAAATAGCCTCACCACAATCAGACACGACTCGTAAACATCCCACCATCTACTACAACGTGCATGAAAGAGCTCACCGGTATGTTCTCAAACTTGGCCAATACAAGACGCTGCAGCTTGGGACAGTTTTTAAGCAATGAAGTAAAGTCTACGAAAGGAAATTAGTACTCTTAAACAAAAACTGTCTCCAACATCTCTCAACACGCGCACCTTTCGCCCGGTTTAGTGCCACCAAGCCACTTAGATTCAAGTCTGTGCATCGTTGAGAGAGCTTCGCGGCTATCTGAGTGACAACTGGACCATCTTCGGAGCAAAATGATACCCAGTCACTGAGATCAACTTTAGCAAGAGCTTCATACGAATTCTGCTCGTAAAAAACTTGGTCCGGCAGTACAATGCAATCGCTGGGGCTCGATACTTTATCAAGATGCTGGTCGTTTGGTTGTGTAGGCGATCCATGCATAGCTCCTACACCACGAGCCTTGCTATCAAGCAAAGTATCAACTACTTTAGTCCATAGGATGCAGTAAATCTCAGTAACCCCAGCTTACCCTATGCAATCTGCCAACAGCCACTCCATGACAACTTTATCCTTGCTTGTCGGACTCACGATCGATGGCAGTGAGACAGCAGCTTCTCGAGCCAAACTGCGCTTGAACACCCCATCTACAGGGCGCCTTGTCTTTCGAGGAGGTCTGTCATTAGGCGACCGCGAACGTCTTGAGATTCTCGTAGTATTATTCTCCTCAACTGGAAAAATCGGCGGGTGAGTGAGCACGCGTTTGTCTCGAAACATTCGTAAATCGTCATCTCGGACGCGTTTTGCAGCTCCTGCACCGGGTACTGCTGGAGTTTCGACCGGAGCTTTGAGCCAAGACTCGAACTGCGATAATTCCTTTCCCCGTAGAGGAGAATCGCTAGTTGAATTGGCCAACCGCTTATTTCGTGAGTAGTGTCCTATATTTTGCTCTTTATCGTCGTAGATATCATGACGTGATGACCTGTTCATCCGTTGCTGTGGGGCAAGGGGAGTGATGGACATTCGCTTGGGTTTCTTCGTGATAGGGCGGTCATTGAGCACTTGCAGGTCAAGTGCGTGGCGCTTAGCCATTGTCAAGTTAGTTCGAGAAAATGCCAGCGTCTCTTCGCTAAATTATGAAAAAAGACTCGTCATTCAACTTAAGAGCTAAAAAATAAAGTCGAGCATCGTAATGATTCATCACTCAGAGATTCAAGCACACTCAACTTTTGTGCATGAACCAAGAGCACATGAAGGGAGTGAGGCAACGCCGGTCTTCACTAGTCGATTCCAGGCTAGCCAAACCACCGCCGCAATTCGCACTTGTTAGAGCCAAATACTGCGAATAATCCACGATCTTCAGGCTTGCCGCTCTCGAAGTTACGGGCGTGAATAGTAACCGAATTCGTCGCCGTCGGCTGTCCGACTTCACCACTGTTGCGGGAAGCCACGATTGGATATCCTTCGGGACGAATGCTGGATAAATCGTTGGTACCTTCATCCGATGACTGGTCAAGTCCTAGTCTGCCTCGTGTGGACTTGAGCTCCTTCACTTTTATTGGAGTTTCTTCCATTTGGCAGTAAACTCTTCCATTCCTGCTTTCTGGAGTAATCACCACTCGACGTGCCGCCTTATGGCAAACCCACTGCTTCAGGAGAGCGCGAAATTCCTTGGCGATCACCTGGTCACGGACGAGTGCGTGCAAACCGTCGTCACTTTTCGAGTCTTCAAGGCCTTCTTGCATCTTCGAGAACACCCGCTCAATGGCGTCACACCAGACCGCTTTGACGTCTCGCCCCAAAAGACGAACAAGCTGCTGCATGTCGTACTTCTTACGCAGCGGAAGAGACAAGGCAAACTTGGTGGGCGAATCAATTCGGCTCCATAATTCGTCATTTTGCTGAAGCTCCTCAACGAATGATCGGAGCGTTTGCACAGCCACGTAGCGCTTGCCGGGTTTAGCTTGAGAGCTGACAGAGAACAACGGATCGGTGAGCGATGCGAATTGCGTTCGCAACGAGGAAACTCTGTCATTTAGCTCATTCTTGCGGTGTTCATAAGCCGTTTTGATGCTGCCTTCGCGGGTTTCGTCTAGTTTCTTCAGATAAGTCGTTGGCCAACGTCCCGCAAACTTCAACAACTCCTCTCGGTACACCTTGATGTCACCATGGCAGGTCACTAGAGTGGAGGTGGCCTTCGCTACCACCCACTTGGCAAACTCATTCTTGTCGGGGAATTCAAGAGAGTAGGAGCGATTCATGGGTTTCTTGAGGGTTTATGACTGACGATAGATATTTTAATGCCGCCGAGTGATGGCACGGCACACGATTACCAACTGCCATGTTGTGTATGACAGGAATTGACGCGGCTTAAGCTGCGAGGATAAAACTCAGCCATTCTTCAACTGGAGAGCTCGGCAGTAAAAATGGCGTCAACAATGCAGATGCCCGTTATGCGTATGAAAAGAAAACCCTCCATCAAGCAAGATCCACCAGCTCCCAAGCCCCCAAACGCCACACCAAAACCTTCCAGCTCCGCTTCCAAAAAACCCAGTACAGCAAACAATCGACATGTTGTACAACGTCATGCATCTGCTGCTGCGAAACCAACTGAAGCGATGTTGCCCATCAAGCTTATCACCAAAGAACTTGAATTGCAGAGTTTCCTGCACAAGAACAAGAACACATTTGTCCCCGCAGGTGCATCGACTATTGGTGTGTACTTTCAGTTTGCAGCGCACTCAGACGTCAATCAGAAGGAGCCAGGATACCAAGCGGTGGCTATCGCGATCTCCAGTGATGTACCCGGTGACGTTGCGGTGATGCTCGTGTTATCATCGCTTAGCAAGACTCGAATCATTACTGGGTTGATTGCCATGCTCAGCGATCCGTCAGTCGTTAAAGTGATGCACAATATCCACCAAGTCGCGTACTGGCTTCACTGTTACGGATTGCAGGACCCCATTCTCGTAAATTGCGTCGACTTACAGTTACTGTACGAAACCACAGTGAATGATACCGTTTTGAAGGCGGATGTTGTCCAGATTGCCGCAGCTAGCACTCCAGCTCCAACGACAGAACTGGCCCAAAGTATGCACTCGTTCAAAGCGAGAATGCATCCACTGAGCTCCGAGGCGTGGACTACCAAACCATTAACTGAGAAAACCCAACACTCGCTGGCTCAAACCGCGAAGCTGTACGCTACCTGTTTCTCTAATTTACGGTGCAACGCATCACTGAAAACAGAATGTATGGAAGCGACACGCAGTCGATGGGAGTTCGCCATTATCAACCACGGTAACCCCGCAATTTGGTTTGACCCAGTTGCTGATAACCGACCGCGTAGTCTTGAGTATCTCACGTCGAGTGCAGGTGGAGCGTCGCCAATTGAACTCCCAAACTTGGAGCTGCAATGCGAACTAGATTCGCTACTTAAACTGCTTCCAGGGTCCTATCGAGATGCCGTCCGTGAGGTCGATAATTATCACTTTAGACTTGTCGACATCTGCATTGACGTTGGTCGAGCTCCTTTCGCGTACACCGGAAAAAAGCAGCGCGTTTTACTTACAAAAGACGGAAGTGTGGTTTCAAAGGAGACTATCGACGAGGTTGTAAAGAATCTGGGAGGAGAAATGCGCATTGGAAATGACAACCGAGCCGGCATCGACAGGCAACGGCACCGCATATCAGTCATGCGCAGCAAGACCGACGAGGTGTACGGACTTACAATGCGCGTTGGTCGAGCGCTGCGCAACGCCGCGTGTGTGTTGACAGATTTGTTGCTGAGCAATAAACACGCTAACAAGTCGGTGCTGGTGTTGGGTCATCCAGGCAGTGGCAAGACGACGCTCATCCGAGACGTAGCACGATGCGTGTCCGAAACGATGGAGAATGTCTGCATCATCGACACGTCGAACGAGATCGGCGGTGACGGTCTGGTACCGCACGAGTGTGTAGGGTGGGCTCGTCGCATGATGGTACCGTCACTGGAGGCACAGGCTGGTGTAATGGTGGAGTGCGTGCAGAACCACACGGTGGAGACGTTGATCGTGGACGAGATCGGTCGGAAAGCGGAAGTGTTGGCTGCGTCGACGGTGCGTCAGCGTGGTCCTCGATTGATCGCGAGTGCCCACGGCGATTTCCGAGCGTTAATCAAGAATCCAGACTTGAAAGGTCTAGTAGGTGGGTCTCAACAGGTTACAATTGGCGATAAAGAGGCAAAGTCGTTGAACAAGGGAAAGTTGCAGACTCAGCGAGCAGGTAATCCGATCTTCGATGTGATCGTGGAGTTGGACCACGTTGTTCGCGGCCGGTGTCGGATTATCTGGGACGTGGCAACGGCCGTGGATAATGTGCTGGAAGGTAACGACTACGCATTCGAGACGCGCCGGTGGGATGCAAGTGCACGGGGCGTTCTACTGCTCGATTAGTACATGCAGTTAGTTGTTGACAACCTATTCGTAATTCGAAGACTATTCAAACGTTTGTTTTTGCTTACAAAATCCAAATCAGATCCAGTAGCAAACAAACAAACAAACCAGGTACGTTTTTTTTTAATGATATGAGTAGTATTGATCACTTAGTAAACCAGGTACGTTGTGGAACGTTGAGTCTGGGAGGTAGCATTGTGGTATGATATCAATTATACAGTGCAATCTGGACGAGGTTTCCAGTTTGAACATCCATTCTCCACTTTATTGTGAAAATGTGGGGCAAGTTTGTCTTTCCTGTAGAGTGTTGATAATGGAAAACACTTCAGTTTTGTTGCATCAGGAACACGTGATAACCCAACCTATACACGCTCGAGCCTCCATTCGGTGCATATGGGCAGCCTTCAAGTAAAAGGAGCACCCGTTGTAAAGTTGCGCCTTGGGCTTTCCATACAGTCATCACGACCGCAAGATCAACAGCGTGCTGACAGTGTTGAATTTTTTTATGGATGGGACGTATTTCGGGTCGGGAAAATGACAAAATGTGAGTGGATACACTAAAGTTGTGACAGAAAGTTAAAGGTGTGCCAAAACGTGAGCAAAGTGGGGTCGGTATCGCCGGTAGGTGTACCAAGTGAAACCCGCGTCAGTAAGTGATGAAATTAGGGAACAAACGTCACAATGTGTGTCTAAATGATTGAATGGCTGAAAAAAGGTGGGCCGGACTTAAACCCAAAAACCCGTTGTATACTAATGTTCGCCATACCCAAATCGTACACTCTTGTGGAGTATGGCACACCAAGTATCAGACGACATTGCCTGAACAGACTCAGCCGATACTGAGAGGAGGCGCGTGCCTCGATGGCTCGTGTTTCGCTCTCGCGTGCCTCCAAGACATATCGGCAACGCGACTGGCGACAGTGAGCGGGCGGCACACGCCGGCGACCAGGCATAGCCGTGGCACGCGGCTACTGAAGCAGCAGCATGAAGGACAGGTACTGCTGCCGCAGGAGCTCGTAGATAGGGATAGTTTGAGGACTCTTTGACTAATCTCACTTCGCAACTTGGTATACAGCGCGCAATACGTCATAACTCTTAAGTACTAAAACCACTTATTACGACTGAGGGCCGCAAAATGACGGAGGACATCGACGACATCGCTGATGGATTGGACAGCGGCGATGCGGAAAACACTATTCAGGTCGGAATGACTTTTGATACTGCTTCACATGCTCTTCATGCTGTTCAAGACTACGCCTTATCTCATGGGAGGTCTGTACAGTACGAGTTTTACGTGCGCGTCTATACTCAGTACTGCGACCTCTGCAGCATAACACGGTTTCATGCAATACCAGTGTCTGGTGAGCCACACGAATACACCGCTACAGGTCCGGATCACCTAGCCCAGCTCGTACTTGAGCAGCAAATGGATGGATTTCCAGTGAGCGATCTGCAGGCCTATTACACGACGTGGCTGTGTTTGTAATATATCCCCCTGAGTCAGAATAATTAGCGCGAGTTAACCTGACTTTCTCCTTGAGTCAGAATAACTCGCGCGAGCTAACCTGACTTTCTCCTTGAGTCAGAATAACTCGCGCGAGCTAATCTGACTTTCTCCCTGAGTCAGAATAACTCGCGCGAGCTAATCTGACTTTCTCCCTGAGTCAGATTAAGTCGCGCGAGTTAATCTGAATTATCTGAGTCTGATTCGTTTTGAACGGCTGGTTCCGATGGCCAATCCCGAATTAAGGGCGCGATGACCAAGCGCACGTGCACCCAGCGGGCCGAGAGAGAGAAGATAGAGCTGCTGAAAAGTGGAAAGCTTATCCAGAATGGACTGCAGCAGACGCTTCGCGAGAGCTAACGTCAAGGAGCCTACTCTGCGTGGATGAAAACAACAGTATCGGGATAAACTAGACTGGGGGCTCTGTGATTACCGGTATCGTCTTTCAATTGGGATTGGCTCCCACCGACCAACAAGGGATTTGCTGAATGCCAAGTTGCGACAGTAAGTGAGTCGGTACGAAAGCTGTGTTCACCATCTTCGTCTGTGATCATTTTACACTTTCTGTCACAACTTTCATGTATCCACTCACCTGGTGTCATTTTTCCATTTCGGGTCACCATACTCAACCCTAGATTAGTTCGACTGTGTACAGAACAATCGAATCCTCATTCCCCGAAATTTGGCCGACATTGAACGCTAAGAGTCAGACATTGTGTCCGACATTTTTTAAAAAAAAGGTATTTATTTTCTGTGAAACGTGTGGCGATGATCGCAAATCGCAATTCGCGCGAAGTACAGCAGACAAGAATCGAGCTGCAATGGAGGAGTATGATTGGAGCTCTTTACGAGAGCAAGTGCGCCAGATTCGCGAGAACACCGTAACAGCCCGCTCTCGCGCCACTTATCAAAGCTCTTACTGTCGTTTTCTGGCTTGGGCAGTACAAACCAAAGGGCATCTCATCGCACCCCAGTTTGCCGAATGCATCGGCGCTGCTGCTGTCTACTCTACCAGTCAACTACGGGCACGCGTGAAGGAGGCAGTCAACCAGGATCCCCGGATTGCTCCTCTTGACTTTGACACCCTGACGGCGGAGGACTTCGTCACCTGGCTCGTCACACTTAAACGAAAGGATGGAGGAGCGCTTAGGTACTCCGCTCTCAGCACGCACAGAGCAGGTCTCTTTAGCCTGTTTCGGGACTTCAGTAAGACAATGAGCAAGACATTGGAAACGGAGTTAACTCTCTTTTTAAGGGTCTAAAGCACAAGTTGGCCAAGGATGCGTCCAATGGCGTCAGTGAGATCAAGACTGGCAAAGATCCGCTGATGTTCGATTTGTACCGGTTTTTATGCGGTAAAATAGTTGCATTTCTTGGCAAGGAGATGAGCTTTGCACACTCCTATATGGTGATAGCATGAAATCTTATGTGTCGCTCTTCCAATGCTTTTAGAATCCGGCACTCACATATGGAATGGAGAGGTGATGTACTTCAGATTTATTTCGCCCACATGAAAAGCGACAAAGGTGGCGACCGGCCACGGGATCCTTGGCATGTCTATGCCAATCCCTTGCAGCCCTCGATTTGCCCCATTGTCGATCTGGGTCTCTACTGGGCGTCTACAACATTTGATTCAAGTGACCACTTATTCCCTGGTAACAGCCAGTATGAGCGATTTCGGAAGTGCTGGCAACGCTTATTATCCGAAGAAGAAGTTGCAGCCGAGCTTAGACGACAGGGCCTAAATCCCAGTGGGCTGGGTACGCACTCCATGCGGGAAGGTTCCGCTACATTTTGCTCTTCGGGCTCGATAGCGTGTCCGTCATCGTCGGCAGCTCATCTGAGAGCTGGCTGGTCACTTGGCGGTGTCCAGAATACTTATTCATGCAACGAAGCTGCCGGAGACATGCACGTAGGACGGACAGTGGCCGGTTTGCCCACGGAGAGCCACAAGTTTTCTACGTTACCGCCCCACTTTAGTGAAAGCGACGAAACCGTCCAATATGGGCTTCGCTTGGTGTTCACAGGCCTACCGCAAAGGTTGAAGCTCATAGCGGAGTATTATTTAGCCTCCCTAACCTTTCAGCATCGCTACCTGACGCGAGCTCTATGACCCAAGCACCCAGTTTTCCTGACGCCTCTTTTTCAAGACGCGGATCTTCTTTCGTCTCTTACTGAGCGAATCCGGACCGGCGATGGAAGCTCAGACACCCGCATCCGTCCAGATGGTATGCCACCACATGTGTCGATTTTGTGTGTGAAGTAGTTAAAAGAGAGTCTGGTCGCCGCTCTCTCCAAATTGAGGCAACCAGAATGGATACAGTAAAATATATTATTACTGAGCTGGAAAAGCGGGCAATTGGAACGGGAAATGTAACCAGTGACGGTCTAAATGCTTCAATTACGAAGTATCTACAAGATTGTGTCATCGACGATTTCATACAGAGGCTAAAAGCACCACCAAAACCTCGTACCGGTACAGTTGACCCAGGCTTTGAGCGTACACTTGCAAATTTTTGGGGTGGAAAGTTTCGTCGCGTTGCCGAACACTTTCAAATTCCTGACTGCTCTGTTCGCCATGGTTGGGTGCTATAGAGATGCGGTGATAAATCGAAGCAGCTGCCTCTGCATTTTCGCTTGCTTGAAGAAAAATATATGGCGAGTCGTAAGTTGCAAAAGCGACTGAGCGAGCTTCGGTAATTAATGAGACATACTGAGAAAGTTGCTGCCTCGAAGGACACACAAAACAATGAACAGACCATAAAAAAGCTACGCAAGTCTTCCTCGACTGTGCAGATAGCATTTCAGTCGACTAGACTACTGCTCATTCGCGGAAGCGACGCTGTGGTCAACTGAGTTGGGCTACAGTTGGTAAACTGCTGCGTAAGAAGCAAAAAGCGACTTAGTGCAATAGAAGCTTAATATTTCTCTGTAATTTGAGCCGCATCAAGCCCTGTAAAGGCAAGCTTATGCTTGCAAAACGATAGATAGATATGATGTCAAAGTACCGTAACGCCCCTCTAAATAGATCGCGAACTGCTGTGTCTGCCAGATGTCCAACGAATTCCGTCTAACCATTTTTTTCCCATTAACTCGCTGTGTGGAGTACATAACTTTGAGTGCACATATATCAGGTTACACGAATGTTGACCAAGTGGACGACAAATTAACCCTCGCTGGGTTTCCTAATAGCTAGCTTTACGCTACCTACCTCCCAGTTTAATTTACACAGAAATCACACTTCACATGAATGAGGGCGGCTCTTAAATAGTCAGATGATCAGGTAAAGTGCGTGAGCTAACAAACTCCTTTTGGATACTGTTGTAGCTGAAGCTACAGCTTGCAACCGCTGCTAAGGTTTGACCCAACAACAGATGCACTCATTAAGCAGAGGTTTCGCCTCAGCGCGTACGGAATGGCATAGAGGTTTTGCAACTGCAGTGGGAAGAGGATTTCATGCGAAGACGTAGTAGTTCGCAGCTGCAGCAAATAGCGA